CGCTCAAAAACTGTTGGTACAAGCTGCACTCAGACATGTCTCCGTCCCCCCCACATCAACAAAAATCATGGATGAGATGAGCACCCCACCATGGCAAGTTAACTAGTGGAAACACTGTCCTGGGAAACCCCTCCTGCTGCAGCATATATGACAAACGGGTTTCTTCCTGCCAGGGTCTCCACTTCATCCCTGCATTCACCGTTTGGCCATAAACCTATCATGAAGAAAGCACCACACGTTTCAGCAGACACTCCTCCATACACAGTCTACACGATCTCCATCTGGGAGTTTTTGGCCATTTGACTAACTTAGTGTGTTTGATGTCTTCTCCACATTGATGAACACGCCCACAAACTTCTGACCAGTCACACAATACTTGGAGCATACTCCTGTGGGAAAAAGTTCAGCCCAGGCTTTGTGTCAAGAAGGGGTGGGCAAAGCTAGTCTGAAAACAAAAGGATGCAATTTTTGTCACGCAACTACGTCAACAAGAGCTGATTTCACCGCTTCGGATGGAGTATGCAGGGCCGTTTAGAGTAAGGAGAATGAAATGATTTGCACAGCATGGTGATAAATAGCTTAATGGAAGTTCAAAGACTGACTTGTAGAGGCAGGTTCTTTGAATGCAAAATGAGGTTCCTTTCATGTGCTGAAATGTGGTGTAAATCTCTTTGCCAGTGTCATGAAGGCAATTTTGCATATGGGCAGTTTCCAAAGCAACCCAGTTCTTCTGTACTTCAAGTATTTACCCTGCTTTGAGAAACAATGCCTGGAAACATTAATACACTGATGTTAAATAGACACATAATGACATTTTATTTGTTTCAATAAATGGTAAGTTGAAAAAAAAGTTCTAGCTTTATAACAAATGTTTAGGTAAGTACTTTCATTTTTGTACATGATTATCAAAAGTTTTTAAACTACAGTAAGTGAATTAAATATCTTTAAAAAATAGTGAGTCATAGCAGTAATCGGCTTTGATCTGACAAAACCCTACAAAACATCGTGACAGATATCCAGTTTCTCCATGTAACAACTGAAAGAAGGACGCGTGGGCACATATCATATTAACACTCACATCTCAATCTGACATTGGATATTGTGTAAACATGGCTGGACTTGCCACATCTTGACAAGAAAAAAATGTTCAGAACACCTTGTGCCCATGTACACAAGTTGTTGAGACTTCCAGTCCTATTGATACTATATTTGGATCTCCATCAACACAGCTTTCTAATTAGGGGGTTACAGTGTGCACTATAGCCTAACAGGTGGCAATTATGCACTGCTTTGTCGACTGTCTATTCAAATGACCGGAAGAGGAAAACAGTTCAAAGTTTCACAACACAATTTGATTTAGTTTTGAATCTTTGTAGACCACAAATGACAAGTTATCCAAATAAGTATAGCAGTAAATAATTCACACAGTATAGACTGTATGTTCAAAACAATTGTTTATGTATTGTTTCCTCTCCGCTTGTGGTTTGACCTGCACGGTTTGTCTATTTTGTTCATGACACCACCTTAAAAATTAGACTTTTATTGTCATGATTTCACTGATTCGCACTGTCCCCACATTGATCACTTCTACAGGTGTGCAGTGGAGAGCATCCTGTGCTCCAGCATCAATGTGCGGCATGGAGGCTGCACAGCTGCAGAAAGAAAAGCTTTGCAGAGAGTGGTGAAGGCTGCACAGAAGTCTGTTGGAGTCAGCCTCCCCATCATCACATACATCTACACCTCCAGATGCAAGAAGAGAGCCACCTGCATCATGAAGGACCCCACTCACCCAGCACACACACTTTTTGCCTCGCTCCCCTCAGGAAGGAGGTTAAGGAGCATTAAGTGCAGAACCACTAGACTGAGGAACAGCTTCTACCCTGAGGCTGTTAGACTCATGAATATCTAACCAGAATAATCATTGTGAAAAATCACATCATGTTGCTGCTGATCTGTTTCATGTCGATGTGTTCATTCGTACTCATCTGCTCACACAGACTCATGCTCGTGCTGCTGTTCGGCATATTGTTTTTATGCTACTAGTGCATTTTTATTCATGTTTTTCTTAGTTTGTATCCTAGATTGTATTACTGTTTTTCTTTTACATTTTAAATACTTTTGTTGGATGTAACCGGGACCCTGTTTACACAATTTGACAAATAAAGAACCTTGAATCCTTGATAAATAATAAGATGCACAATTTCATCTGCTGAGGGAGCAGGCATGCCCTCAAGAACTGGTAAAGATGACAAAATTTACGTCACACAGTGTTTGCAGTTGAGCGTAGAGTACAGAGGACACTGAACCATCAATTTAGTCAGAGACCATGTACAATCCTGATAATAAGCCTGTCAGAACAATCCGTCTTTCAGAGCAGTGGTCTGTATGGAGTGAAAAGGCTTGGCTAAATGCCTGCAAACCTTTCTTTTCAATTGGATTTAAAGTTGCCCCTAACATATGTTCCCTCCGTTTGATCTGCAGCAGTTCACCAACATAACTAACAACAACAACAACAACAAAAAAACTGCCATAAAAAAATTCCAAAAATCAAACAATGGTAAATTATTCTAATAGCCCATGGTACCTCAAATGTGTATTTCATGTAAATAAAAGCAGGGATTTGTCTTATGGCATGTGCACATTTCTGTGAGGTGGACTTGCTTGTGTGAATATGTGCCTTTTTGACAACCTGTGTGGATCGGCGTAGACAGATGCGGTTGGCTGCAACAAATCTGTTTAAAGAGAAAACAAGATGCGAGAGCATTTGTACATGTTGTGTTTAATCATGTGGGAGACGCACGGTGTAGTCTGTGATGATAGATGCCCTTCGACCAAGCTTTCTCCTCATCCTAATGAGCACATTCATATGACTACTCTATGTTGATTTTCCATCCTTTCATATGTGTGCCAATTACACTGTTAGTTCCTTCTCGTGTAGCTCGGCTGAGTGATACGAAGGTCTTGAGATGGTGAATTAGGAATTGGGTTATCCTAGAGCTTTTTGTGTTCATTTATCACTGTATGAAATGTTGGGGAGGAGGAAGAGAGAAACTTGACTGAATGTGCTTGTGATAGCCTAACCCTGTTTCTGTTTTGTTAAAAAAAGTGAATAGTAACAAAAAGGTAACATTTTTTTTGTCTGTGTCTGTGTGCATGTGTGTTAGTCTATTATGTTAACAAAATATCTCATGAATCACTGGGTGTGTTTAAATGAAAGTCTCAGAAAGTATTCATTGGATGCACATCTGATTTATAAACAACTGATTGACATTTTAAATCAGCACAATTCAAGATGGCCACCACTGACAACTGATACTAGGGATATTAAGTTCAGCTAAAACTCAAGTAATTTTTCTAAATATTTAGCTGAAATTTGGTATGGCTAAGAGTAATTTACAACACATACGGGGGGAGTGGTGGGGTAGAGGCTAGAGAGGGTGCGCCTGTGATCGGAGAGTTGCCAGTCAACTCCCTGTCCTCAGTTCAACTTCCTGGACTGACAACATCAAAATGTGGGTGGAAAAGGTGAAACACCCACACCTGCCTCCAGCCTCATTTGCCCCACTCTGGGCCCATGAGCAAGGCCCTTAACCCCCCAGCTGCTCCCCGGATGCCTTGGATTGCAGCCCCACTGCTTCACATGTGTGTGCTCACGTGCAATGTGAAAAATGCAAATAATTAATTTCCCCTCTGGGGATTAATAGAGTACAAAAAATAAAAAATACTCTGAGTGCTGCACATTGCACATTTTTGCTTAAAACTTTAGCATTACGTTGGTCAGCACTGTCTGTCTGTTAGCAAAATGAACCACTGATCAGAGTTGACTAAAGTTCTCAAAAATGAATTGTTAGTATCTCAATTACTTTGATAGTTAACTCAGTTCAAGCGGCTTGCCACAGCTGAACTTTTCCAACACAAACATGTTTATAACAATCAAATACAGTAGTCCCTCACTTATCATGGGGGTTACGTTCCAGACACCCCAGCAATAAGTGAAAATCCATGAAGTAGGGATGTTATATTTATTTTAGTATTTATATATATATGTCAAGCATTTACAAACCCTTTCCACACTCTTGCAATGTTCTTAACAATGTTCTAAACTCACTCAACACTCTAAAGAGCACAGCAAAAGAGAGCAGACCGACTGATACCATGGTTACTTAGCCAATCAGCATCCAGAATACAGAGCATGTGATCGGTCGCTTTCCATCAATCCTGCCGCGGTGGGGTAGAGGTA